AATATGGGATCCTGGTGCATTCAAGGCGAGGACTTTAGCCGCTAGGCCACGCCGCCCGGGCCCAAGATAGGTGTCATTTAACAATGCTTAAAGGTTTGTAAAAGTAACTACATTGCCTGGTGCAATGGCTCAACTGGCCAATTCTCCCCCTTCAAGCGTCAGGATCCCACTCCTGGGCACCAGTTCATGCCCAGGCTGCTCCACATCCCATCCGGCTCCCTGCCTGTGGCCTGGGAAAGCAGTTGAGGACGGCCCAAAGCCTTGGGACCCTGCACCCATGTGTGAGACCTAGAGGAAGCTCCTGGTTCCTGACTTCAGATCAGCTCAGCTCTTGTCATTGTGGCTATGTAGGGAGTAAACCAATGGATGTAACATCTTTCTCTCTCCTTCTTTGTATAAATTTGCCTTTCCAATAAGAATAAATAAATATTTTAAAATAATAATTATAGCAAGTGACAAAGGCAAGATTTCATGGTAGCTAGCAGTCCTCACATACAAGGCTTAATTATTTTTCTTCTAATTGTCTATACTTGCCCAGCTTCTGCTAATAAATTAATACTTCAAGAATAAGAAAAACGTGTATTCTAAATGTCATTTTAAAATCTGGACTTATACACTAAAAAAATCCCTTGAAATTTTTGAGATAAAAGGAATGAGATTTGTTTTCTAGGATAATGTCCTTGGTGATGACAGGAAGTGTGTAACTCATGCGTGGAATATTAATAACATAAACCTGGATTTGAGTCGTTTAGATGTCAGGAACTTCTTGTGTTCAACTTGACACAGCAATGTTTAAGTCGATTTTAGGACTCACCTAGGGGTCAGTATCAGGCATCGAGGTGAAGCTTTGGCTTGTGACGCTGGCTTCCCATGTCAGAGGGCATTTGAGTTCTGGCTGCTCCACTCCTGATCTAGCTGGTGCACATGGGAGAACAGCGAACATGGCCCAAGCTCTTGGGTCCCTGCCTCCCATGTGGGAGACCCGGGTGGAATTCTATGCTCCTGGCTTCTGAACTGTTTGGGCCATGATCCAGATAATGGAAGATTTCTTTAAAAAAGAAAAGAAGAGGAAAAAGAGAAACACTGCATAGCAAAGTGGCTGGGTCCCTGTCACCCAGGTGAAGGATCTGGGTTGAGGTCCCAGCTCCCACCTGCAGCAAGGCTTCGCCCTGTCTGTTGCAGGCAAGCTCAGGGTGAATCAGTGAATGAGATATTACTTTCTCTCTTTTCCCGTTTTTCTTGCAAATGAATAAAAATGAATTTGAAAAAGAAATAAAGAACAACCAACTTCCCTTCAAGCTATAAAAATTAGCTACCTGTCCCTTATGTGTTGAATTAGCAATAATCCGTAAGAACTGGGTGAGAGTCATTCTGTCGTTAAGTATTGTTTTATTGATGCAAAAGAACAACAGCAACAAAAACATATACTTGCTTTTAGGTGGTTAAGTATGAAAGCAGTAAAAAAGTAATCCTTTTTTTTTCTTTTTTGCTGAATGGTTTCCAAAGTTCAAAGGACATGTGAGTTGAGAAGTAGAAAATAAGGATTTAATAAGCCATTTGGTTTAAATCGCTCATTTCATAGGTTGGTCGTTGTTAAGTTGACCCCAGGCTGCTGTTCCTTTTACAGAGCACGTCTGTCAGTCACATGTCATGGTGAATTCAGAGGACTTACGAAACACAAGCTCTAAGAAACAGACCAGACAGTTGCATATGACACTGGGGGAAAGTCACATGATAAATCTGTAGATACAAAGTTAGTGATTTTGGGGTGTCTGGGCCAAAACTGTTCCAGCTTAAGAAATGAGGCATTTATGTTAAATAAATTGCTTTAATTAGAATATAAATGATAGGCAAACATTTGTTTCTCCAAGCAACCTTTCAGCATCAGGAACAAGATTATAATTCTAAAATAAAAAATAAATCAAATCTTTTTGAATGAAATAAAAATGAAACATAGCTTTCATTTTTTAAGTGTATGCATTTTTTATTTGACATCTGTTTATATATTTTTTGATCATCTTTACCTGGTTGATTAGGGCACAAAAGGTCACGAGCTACAGGAAACGGACCAAGACCATTCCTTCCGCATTCATATTTTTTTTTTCTGTATCTGGGGTAAGGGGAGCGATAAAGGGAGAAGCCCCACCCAGCCTCCCACCTTCCCAGGTCCCCGATGTGGGGCATGCCCCGAGGGTCCTGCTCAAGCAGTTTCGATAGTTCAACTGTTCTGAACTGCTGCCAATCACACCGTTCCAAGCACGATGAAACCTATTCAGAATGCACTGGCTGACACGATCTCTTCCTGGTTGGGGTTCTGAGATCGGCAGTTCAGTTGGCGGGATCTCCAAAGAAACTTTGTCTGAGGTGATCCCAGACCTGATTCTTGTGTGTGCTTGCCAGTACAGGGTCCAGCACAGTCCGTCACCCCAATCAGCTTATGCACATGATGGTCATTGCATTTGCTGGGTCAGCCCTGTTTCCAGCCCTGTCTTCCACACGAAACAATGGCTGTTACACTCCAGCCCGATCCTGTCCAGCACACACTTTGCCCTCTTGCAAGCCAGTGGGACCTGCAGCCTAGTTGGGGCAACTCCCCATAACCCCTACCAAGCCTGCCCCCTACCCTGGTTCCCATGCTTGCAAGTATGTACCGCAGACTTGTTCAGTCTGTCCCACAACCCTTTTAGCTCTCATACATGTCAATGAGCATTGAAGCCTAGTTCAACTCAACCAACCTACTATCCAGCCCACACACGCGTGCTGGCAGGTACCGCCCTGGTCCTGTCCTGGTGCTCTCCAGTGGGAGTGGTAACCAAGAAGGAGGAGCCCACTATTTCCCTCCTAGGCCACTCCCACTCCCAAAATATGCACTCTCCAGGTGGTTCTGCAGTTTAACTTCACAGAATTAGCCCTCAGTGCCAGCCTCTGCCAGCTGATGCTGCGGCAAAGCCCAGCCAACCCTCACCCACTCTAATTTTTGCTTGAATCAGTCAGAACAATCAGCCCAACCTGGCCCTTTCCTGATCAGGCTCACTGGAGGTCCATAGGTAGTGTAGTCCTGCCTGGTCTTGTCTGCCCCTATCCCAACTCACACTCTCTAGTGGGAGTAGCTGTCCAGCAGGGGAGCCCTCCACATTCCCCCTACCGGCTTTACTCCCTCCCTGGTTCTCACGTGTGCTGGTTGGGTGCTGCAGCCCAGCCTGGTACGGCCCACCTCACTGGTTTTTGTTGCAACCAAACCTGGCCCGACCCACACTCTGTTCTGGTGCTCGGATTCACCAGTGGGTGATGTGAACTGGTTCAGCGTGGTCTGCCCCCGAAGTATGCCAAATGTATGCTGGTGGGTATTTTTCCCTGACCTGGTCTGGATTGCTCCTTATTGTGGTTCTTGCGCTCACCTGCAGGGACTGTGTCCTGCCAGAGGAGTTTCCCAGGCTTCTCCATCAGAACCTTTCCCATTGCCAGATCTTGTGCATACTGGTGGGTCCAAGGGCCAGCCCTACTTAGTCTACCTCCTATCCTGGTAGAATCAGTGGCTTTTCCTGACTGGCCTTCAACCCATTTGGTACTTACTGTTGGATCTTTCAGCCCAGCTAACGCTCGTCCATACCCAGACAACTGCTCACATATGGCTCAGTCGGGGCAGAGACTTAACCTAGTCCGTCCTACATCTACCCTAGTTCTCATGAGCACCAGCTGGTGCTGGCGTCTAGCTCAGCTAGGTGCACCCAGCTCCAGTTCACACTTGTGCCAAGAGATACTGTAGCCATATAAGGACCAAAATGCAGCCCCTCACTCTGGCCCCCGCACTCACCAGTGGGAACCCCAACCCAGCAAGAGTTTACTCTCACAGCTCAACAACCAAGCCTATTTCCAATCCTAGATTACATGTGTGACAGTGGTTGCTCTGACCCAGTTGGCCCAGCCCCTCACCTGTCTTGGCCTTTGCCTTTGATGCTGTGGCCTAGTATCCCTGGCTCATGCAAACCAGTCGGTGTAAAAGCCTAGCTCCACATGACCTGTGCTCCAGCCTGATTTCTGTTCTTTCTTGTGAGTTAAGGTTTGCTCAGCCCTGCTCAATCTGTCCCCTTCCAGTTGCAGCTCAGTCCACCCCACACCCTATTTTAGGATGCACATTCGGGTGCTGCTGCCTTGACCTGCCCAGACTGTTGGCGGTTCCTTTACTTGTGAGTGATGGCAGGTTCCAAGGTCACACCTAGTTCAACCCATCACCACCCTAGTTCGCGAGCTAACCAGTGGGACTTATATTTCCATAGGGTTGGGCCCACACTTCCCCCACAGAATCTACCCCCAAACCTGGTTCTCTCATGTGCTGGTTAGTGCCTTGACCCTGTCAAGTGTGACCCATCCCCTGTTCCACCAGTCAGGTACTGGTACCTAGCCCTGCCAGACAGGTCCTCAGCCCTAGCTTTCATGTGGACTGTTGTGTGGCAGTCAGTGATGCTCTATGCTAACAGCCCATCTCAGGATTCCCATGTGGGCTGGTGAATCAGTCTGGCCCAAATAGATCTTAAGGACTCTCCCCTCCAAACCACCAGATCTCAGTCCCCACACTTGTCAGAAAGTTCTGTGACCCCCATCACTGGGAGTCTCAAAGGATTCATCCCTCACCTACACTCACACTGGCCTTATCCATGGATGTCCCTGGGTAGTAATTACATGTTCTAAAAACCTCAGAGCTTGCCGCTGGGCGGACAGTATGCAGAGCCTGGCGCCCAGTGGGCACACTGGCCTCCCAACAGCCTAGGACTCGTTCAGCATGTGGTGACGGTGTCCTTGGGCTGAGACCCAAGCATCGGGTCCGACCTGGCTCAGGCACCCTTCGCAAAACTGCCATGCTGGAAGGGGCTCCTTTTGCCCCCGCCCCCCGGCCGGACATTGCCCAGACTTCCCTCCGCAAGATATTAAAAACCAAATCAAATATTTTTGAATGAAATAAAAATTAATTGAATCAGATATAGCTTTCCTTAAGTGTATTCATTTTTATTATTTGACACTTGTACACATAAAATCTACATTTAACATTTATGTAAATCCTAGCAAACTTGTACACATACAGAGTTCAAATTACAAAGGAAAATGATCAAGACACATCAAGAAGGCAAAGTGATTCTATTCTGGGTTTACAATTGTGTATCTAACAGGCCACAATCCTTTTATTCCAAAAATTATCTTCACATGAGAACTCGACAATGAGCAACTAAATGACAGAATAAATGAGCTTCATTCTGTGGAACACGGAAAGAAGCACAGTGATGATCCTGAGGTCTTCGGGAAGTCTTTACGACGTCACCAGCGAGATGACGCAAGCTAGAGCTACGAGAGTCTGTCCAAGCGAAAGATTTGTGTTAGCTCCTCCCTTCACCTTTTTCTGCGAGAAGTGCTCCGTCAGCCACTCTTGGAAGAAAGATGGTCCGCTATAGATCCCGGGGAAATTTTTGCGACCACAGCCGTTTCCGTAACTTGTAATTCCCATCATGAAGAATCTTTTATATTCTGGTAAGTAGCACATCAACGGCCCGCCGCTATCCCCCTGTCACAAGGAAAGTCCAACACGGTTCCGTTACTTCCAGGGTCGGCAGGCACCAGCAGGGCTAAGTCATCGCGGGCATGCGAGTGTAGATCCGCAGGTGCGGTACACCTCCCAGGGATAACCACCCGCCACTGAGCACGTTATTTACAAAGCCAACAGGGACGTGTTCAGGAGGAGCCGCACAGCTGGGCGGATGATCTCACCTGCAGAATCAGGAGTCAGATGCCCGAGGTCACAGTGTTTGAGTATTTCAGTACAAGTAAGTGCAGAATACTCTAAAAACTGCCCACTTGAACTTTTTTTTTTTTTTTGCTTGATTGTGTGTGAAGGTCATAACAGATTTTTTTATAAAAATGTGTTTTTACTGGAAAGGTTAATTTACAGAGAAAAGGAGAAACAGAAAGATCTTCCATCCGCTGATTCACTCCCCAAGTGACCACAATGGCCTGAGTTGAGCTGAGCTAAAGTCAGGAGCCAGGAACTTCTTCCGGGTCTCCCACGCGGGTGCAGGGTCCCAAGGCTTTGGGCCGTCCTCGACTGCTTTCCCGGGCCACAAGCAGGGAGCTGGATGGGAAGTGGAGCAGCCAGGACATGAACTGGTGCCCATATGGGATGCCAGTGCACGCAAGATGAGGATTTTAGCCATTGAGCCATTACACTGGGTCCTGAAAGGACATAACTTTTAAGATGTATGAAATATTCTTTAAGGTTTGTGGGTAGCTAGCTACAGGAAAGAAATAAACTGGCATTTTTAAAGAGATGGCATCTTCGTAAGTACTGACATTTTCTAGGGGTGCATAAACAGAAATGGACATCAAATAGTGTAAGTAGTAAGTCTCTTTCATAGTTCATTCAGGACTGTTAATGAGGCCAAACATCCTTGCTCTGGACCACATCAAGGACACGGGGATAAAGGCTCAGGTGCCTGAAGACTAAAGACTACATTCCTCTGTGTTTCCAATTTTCTATATAATCAAGCATTGGCTACTGGGGCCGGGGGGATGTTGCACCCAGGATTGCAGCCAATCAGGTTGGATTCTTTCCTGTTTCACTCAGCAATGTTTTCCTGGGAAAGGGTACGGGCAAGTTAAACCTTAGCTCAGAGGGATGAGAATGAGTAAAGACGAGTGCTTGTGGTACTCTCGGGAGGCCAACACTCATAGACTTGGAAGCAAGAAAAAGAGGGGCCAAGGCAGAAACAGATCAGACCTTCTAGAAAACTTAAAACATATGCACCGTTAAGTGATAACATCAGGAAAGTGGAAAGAAAGGTCTGGCATTGTGGTGCCCTGGTTAAGCCGCTGCCTGTGACCCTGGCATCCTATAGCGGTTGTGGTTCAAGTCCTAGCCACTCCACATGTGACACAGCTCCCTGCCATTGGGGTGGGAAGGCAGCAGATAAGACGGCTCTGGCAGCACATAGCACATCCCTTTGCCTTTCAAATCAATGAAGAGAGAAAGAGAGAAAGAGAGAAAGAAAGAAAGAAAGAGAGAGAGAGAAAGAAAGAAAGAGAGAGAAAGAAAGAGAGAGAAAGAAAAAGAGAAAGAAAGGAAGGAAGGAAGGAAGGAAGGAAAGAAAGAGAAAGAAAGAAAGAAAGAAAGAGAAAGAAAGAAAGAAAGAAAGAAAGAAAGAAAGAAAGAAAGAAAGAAAGAAAGAAAGAAAGAAAGAAAGAAAGAAAGAAAGAAAGAAAGAAAGAAAGAAAGAAAGAAAGAAAGGAAGGAAGGAAGGAAGGAAGGAAGAAAGGAAGAAAGGAAGGAAGGAAGGAAGGAAGGAAGGAAGGAAGGAAGGAAGGAAGGAAGGGAACTTTAAAATGGACATTGCTGGAAGAAGGAAGGTACGGCTGCAGGTCATGGAGGAGAGCTGGAATCCAGCACGAAGATACAGACCGGCACTGTGGCGCAGCACCTGGAGCTGCGGCCTGGGGTCCAAAGGCCCCACCGCTCCACCTCCAGTCCAGCTCCCTGCTCCTGGCTGGGGAACCTGCAAGCAGCTCCCGAGCCCCGGCTTCAGGCCCACTCCGCTCCAGCTGTCATGGCTATTTTGAGAGTGAAGCAGCAGCAGAGAGAGACAGAGAGGGGGAGAGAGAGAGAGAGATCTTTGTCCCTCTCCCTCTCTCTCTCTTTTAGATAAAAAATAAAATAAAATAAATATAAAACTAAACCAAATTAAAATAACAGTGCTGACAAGAATGTGGAGAAGTTGGGACTCTTGAACAATGCCCGAGGGAGTGCAGACCAGTGCAGTCCCTATTCTTAAGTGGCATTTCTAGGAGAAAAGAATAAACTATATGCACAAATGATCATAGGGGTATTATTCATAATAGCCACGAAGTGGAAGCAGCCCCCCAGTGTGTGCCAGCTAACGCGGAGCGCGTCCACACAATGCTATGTTTGGTAATAAAATGGGCAAAGTACCGCAAGCATGCTAAGTGAAAGAAACCCGTTGGAAAAGACAGAAGACGGAATGATTCCAAAACACGGCTGTTGTCCAGACAGAACCCGCAGCTCTGCGTGGACTCAGTGCTTGCTGAGCGCTGCGTGGGAGTGAAAGGGGCCGGGGAGGGAGTCCTGCTGGCTATAACTGCTCTGCGCAAAAAGTTCTAAAATGACATTGTGTTGGGCCCGGCATGGTGGCCTAGCGGCTAAAGCCCTCGCCTTGAACGCGCCCTGGGATCCCATATGGGCGCCGGTTCTAATCCCGGCAGCTCCACTTCCCTTCCAGCTCCCTGCCTGTGGCCTGGGAAAGCAGTTCAGGATGGCCCAAGGCTTTGGGACCCTGCACCTGTGTGGGAAACCCGGAAAATGTTCCTGGCTCCTGGCTTCGGATCGGCACAGCATCGGCCGTTGCGCTCACTTGGGGAATGAATCATCGGACGGAAGATCTTCCTCTCTGCCTCTCCTCCTCTCTGTATATCTGACTTTCCAATAAATAAATAAATCTTTTAAAAAAAACTACATTGGGGTTCCAGTCTTACTGTTCTCCAGAAATGCTAATTTAGAAAAGACACTGCTTGTCCGATGTGTATGGATTAACTCTATATCAAGGTAAAGATAGAAAAAACCCAAGGTGAATGCTGCTGAAGGTTCCTGGTAAGAGTTAAGGTGTAAGGGACAGGGAAGACCTGGGTTTTGGGGTAGTTCAAGGGGAAACGGGGAAAGACTTCGGTGTTTATACACCTGCGGATGGCGAGGATTAGAAGGTGACCGAAGCCTTGCCCAGCCTTCCCTCCAACTGAGAAAATACTTTAAAGTGAAATTCACGGCTCTTACCCTGCAAGTATCAAAGTTGCCATTTTCATCACCTGCGCAGAACGAGCTGTTAGGAATGATGCCCCCGTAACTCAGCGCAGAATTACAAATCTGTCGAGAAATATAATGGACTGCCGCTTCTTGCAACATGTTTGTGCTATTACCTGTCATCAAAAAAGTTAAGATAAAATAAGAACACCTGTAGGTTACTTTGGAGCGCAAGCAGTTTTGTTGTTTTTTTGTAATTTCATATATTGATGTTTTATTCCAAAATGGCTGATAGAGCAGTTAGGAAAAATTACATATATTTACAAGCAAACACATACAGATATAACAAAATTTGTCAAATGCAGAACTAAGAGATAAGCTTATTTTGAAGCAAAAACTGCAACATATATATACATAAGGAGTCTAGGAGTCTTCAAAAGTTCATTGAACGTGTAGATTGTCAAAATAAAAAGGCTTGGATTTAAAAATCAAAAACTTTTGCCAAAATAAACTCACTTCTTATTATGAATTTTTCATGAATTTTACAAGTAGCCTCATGGGTGTGGCACGGTGGTCTAGTAGCTAAATCCTCGCCTTGCAACTACCAGGATCCCACATGAGCGCCAGTTCACGTCCCGGCAGCTCCACTTCCCATCCAGCTCCCTGCTTGTGGCATGGGAAGGCAGTGCAGGATGTCCCAAGGTCTTGGGATCCTGCACCCTTGTGGGAGATCCAGAAGAGGCTCCTGGCTCCTGGCTTCGTATGGACTTAGCTCTCACTGTTGTGGTCACTTGGGAAGTAAACCAGTGAATGGACGATCTTTATATCTCTCCTTCTCTCTGTCAATCTCCCTTTCCAATAAAAATCTTCCAATAAAAATCCAATAAAAAAGATTTATTAATGAGGCCTTGCACCATGGCTCAATTGGCTAATCTTTCCCCTGCAAGCGCTTGCATCCCATATGGGCTAAAATGAATACATTCCGGCCTTCTTTTGATTCGTGTCGGCGTTATATGTATATAATCCCATCCTTTAATGTTTTCACCAGTCGCTGCTTTTAATCTGTATGTATCTTTACCCTTGTATGCTGTATACAGCATACACTTGGCTCTTTTTTTTTATGCCATTTGGCAATAAGTGTCTTTTCAATGATCTACAATGGTACATTAAAAAAAAATCTGTGGGAAATTAAATTTTAGAAATACTATATTTTAATAAAAAATAAAATCAAGGGTGTACAATTTTTAAAAAGATAACAGGTTTTTCGTGAGCTTTCGGCACCCCCTCATATGCACGGCATCGGTATTTAAATGATTACTGCTATGCCGGATGTTGCCCACACCGTTATTCTTCCTACTCCTTGCCTTGCCTCCATTCCTCCTTCTTCTGCTCTTTCTCTGTCTTCTGGTGGTTTTAACTGAAAATTTTTAGAATCCAATTTTCTTTTTTTTTCTTTTTTTTAGCATAGAAATCTTACACATTAGCATTCCTATTGTAAACATTTGAAACCCAGACTGCTCAAAAAACAGGAAACTTTTTGAGCAATGCGATGATGCCACTCATAGGAAATCCCACAGCTGGCTTTGAGTGACAGGTCACAGTCAAAGGTTAGGCCCAGCGAGCAGAGCTCAGGACAGGGGGAAGGCCCAGCGAGCAGAGCTCAGGGCAGGGGGAAGGCCCAGCGAGCAGAGCTCAGGGCAGGGGGAAGGCCCAGGGTGGGGAGCTCAGGGCAGGGGGAAGGCCCAGCGAGCGGAGCTCAGGGCAGGGGGAAGGCCCAGAGAGCAGAGCTCAGGGCAGGGGGAAGGCCCAGGGTGGGGAGCTCAGTGCAGGGGGAAGGCCCAGGGAGCAGAGCTCAGGGCAGGGGGAAAGCCCAGGGTGGGGAACTCAGTGCAGGGGGAAGGCCCAGCGAGCAGAGCTCAGGGCAGAGGGAAGGCCCAGGGTGGGGAGCTCAGTGCAGGGGGAAGGCCCAGCGAGCAGAGCTCAGGGCAGGGGGAAGGCCCAGCGAGCAGAGCTCAGGGCAGGGGGAAGGCCCAGGGAGCAGAGCTCAGGGCAGGGGGAAGGCCCAGAGTGGGGAGCTCAGTGCAGGGGGAAGGCCCAGCGAGCAGAGCTCAGGGCAGGGGGAAGGCCCAGGGTGGGGAGCTCAGTGCAGGGGGAAGGCCCAGCGAGCAGAGCTCAGGGCAGGGGGAAGGCCCAGCGAGCAGAGCTCAGGGCAGGGGGAAGACCCAGCGAGCGGAGCTCAGTGCAGGGGAAGGCCCAGCGAGCAGAGCCCAGGACAGGGGGAAGGCCCAGGGAGCAGAGCTCAGGGCAGGGGGAAGGCCCAGGGTGGGGAGCTCAGTGCAGGGGGAAGGCCCAGCGAGCAGAGCTCAGGGCAGGGGGAAGGCCCAGCGAGCAGAGCTCAGGGCAGGGGGAAGGCCCAGCGAGCAGAGCTCAGGGCAGGGGGAAGGCCCAGCGAGCGGAGCTCAGTGCAGGGGAAGGCCCAGCGAGCAGAGCTCAGGGCACACCCTGGGAGGCACCAGTGACAGCTCAGGTGAGGTACCACCACTCTCCTAAGACATCTGGGTTGCCTTCTGGGTTCTTTGGCTCCAGCCCACCCCACCCCTGGCTGTCGCAAGCATCTAGGAAATAAACCAACAGTCAGGAGCTTGCTCTCGCTGTGTTTCCCAAAAAACATTTTTAATGCAAGCAACACTATAAAATATTATAAAATTGCTTGTAGGCTGTGTTTACAACACATAAAGGAACGTGTGTTTAGATGGAGGTACATCCTCAGCTCATCTTATTATGTGCCCAAAATACACAAAATACCGCTTCCGGTCTCCAGCATTTTTTGACAAGGCATACCCAGCCCATGCCATTGTAGTGGTTTGTCTTGAATTTGCTTTCTACATTTACATCTATTCTAAGACACTTTCAAATAACTGTATCACTCCATAGGTAACCCAGGTACCTTCAACCAAGTGTTTCAATTCTCTCTCCTGATCTAATATTAGTATTGTCATTGATTTCACTTATACTTACCTGTAGGCCACAACTGTATTATTGCTATTACATTTTGAACAAACCATTAACTGTTAGTCAGAATAATAAAAAGTTTTAGGGGGTCCGGCGTGATAGCCTAGTGACTAAACTCGCCTTGAACATGCCAGGATCCCATATGGGCACTGGTTCTAATCCCAGCAGCTCCACTTCCCATCCAGCTCCCTGCTTGTGGCCTGGGAAAGCAGTTGAGGATGGCTCAAAACCTTGGGACCCTGCACCCGTGTGGGAGACCCAGAAGAGGTTCCTGTCTACAGTCAAACCACTCTGAACGCGCCCGATATTGTCTGATCTCGGAAGCTAAGCAGGTTTGGGTCTGGTTAGTACTTGGATAGGAGACCAGAAGAAGCTCCTGGCTCCTGGCTTTGGATTGGCTCAGCTACAGCCATTGTGGCCGCTTGGAGAATGAAGCATCTGACAGAAGATCTGTTTAGTTTCCTTTCCAATAAAAATAAATATATCTTTAAAAAAAAAAAGTTTTAGGGCCTGGCACGGTAGTCTTAAACACGCCAGGAGCCCATATGGGCACTGGTTCTAATCCCAGCAGCTCCACTTCCCATCCAGCTCCCTGCCTGTGGCCTGGGAAGGCAGTGGAGGATGGCTCCACCTGCTTGGCCTATGTGGGAGGCCATAGGCACGCAGCACACCATGTCTCGGGGTAATCCCTGACTACGATTTCAGCTGAGACGTCTACCTGGCCTGTTCAGGGCCACACAGGCAAGGGCGGTGGGTGGCACCCCCGTCTCTCTTCTCTGTCCTTGGACGATCTGTGCTGGGACTTCCTTGAAAAGCAGCTGAGAGAAGTAGGTGTGCTCCCACGTGGTGTGCGTGGCCTTCAGCTGGCCTACTGCCACACACGGTGAACTTGACCTTCAGCATAGGCCTGCCAGGCATGTGTGTTGTACATGACCTGTGACATGTTTGGAGAGTCCTGGACATGCCTTCTAGCCACCCACAGTGACCTTGCTGGGTGGGAGGACTGTTGGGGGATGCCCCTCTGCCGTCCCCTTTCCTAGTCCATATAAGCTTGTGCTTGCATTACAATAAATGGACACGCTCCATCAGACTGTCCCTGATGGTTCTTGCAGCAGAAAAAAACCATCGCCTCACGCCCTCAGCGGTCTCGGGGCCTGCTGGTAGGAAACCCCCTGAGATGCAGTAAGCTCCTTTTCCCTTCTAGCTTGAAGATTTTTTTTTCTTTGCTTTCCCGCAGTTTGAATATGTTATGTCTAAGTGTGGGTTTCTGTTCGTTTGTTTCTTAAAGTTTTGAAGGTTAAAATGCCATTTATCATTATTCTCTGGGTTTCTTCCATCTGTGGTTTAGAGTCTGACAGCTTCTGAAATTCTTTTTTTTTTTTTTTAACATTTATTTATTTTTTTGGAAAGGCAGATTTACCGAGAGAAGGAGAGATGGAGAGAAAGATCTTCAGTCGGGGCAGTGGGGGCAGCAGGAATGCGTCTAGGGGCTGGGTTCCATCACCCAGGTGGGAGAGCTAGAATGAACTCCTAGCTCCCAGCTTCAGCCTCAGCCCACCCCTAGCCAACGCTAGCATTTGGAGGGGGGGGCGGAAACTAACAGAGGAGACCACTCTGTATCTTTGCCTCTCAAACAAAAAAAAAATTTAAAACTTAAATGTGGGCCCAGCATTATGGCTCAGTGGCTAAATCGTTGCCTCACAAGTGTCAGGATCCTACACAGGTGCTGGTTCATGTCCCGGCTGCTCCACTTCCCATCCAGCTCCCTGCTTGTGGCCTGGGAAAGCAGTGGATGACGGCACAAACCTTTGGGCCCCTGCACCTGTGTATGAAACCCAGATACAGATTTTAGCTCCTGGCTCCGAACTGGCTCAGCCCCAGCTGTTGTGGGTCCGTTTGTTGGGGGTGAGTGAGCAGTGGATAGAGGATCTCTCTGTCTCCCTCTCTCTGTCTCTCTCTCTCTTCTCTCTTTCTCTCTCCCTTTCTTTAAATCTGCCGTCCAAGTAAAAATAAACAAATCTTACTTAAAAGAGAGAGAGCGAGCATGCATGGAAGTCAACCTCCTGGATACTGAATGTCTGATTCCTAACAGCCCCAAGTGTACTCTTGACCATGGGGAGTTCTTCCGGAGCTAGTTTTCATCATCAACAGAGAACTGGGGAGCATCATTCCACTCAAGGATGTCTACACGTTCACGCAGCCTGGTGTTGATAACCAGGACGGTCCACCTACTTTGGCTTTGGAAGAGAATTTTCTCCTTAAAGAAGAAAAAAAAAGCACTCACATACCAAACCAAAATAAACAAAAAAGCACGCCTTTTCTCTGGTTTTAAAAAGACCTAGTTTTTTTTTTTTTTTTTTTTTCAAATTCATGGTATAAAATGATACAGAGAAAACATAGAGACTTGTTAAGTATTGACCCTCCTCTGCCGGTAACTAGAAAAACATTGATGGGAGGAATGGAGGCGGGAGTTACCTTCTTCCTGGGTTCTTCCCCAGCCACTTATGAAGCATTTTGTTTCTTCGTCCAGTTTTTGGAAAACATTAAAGGGTAGACAGATCGGCCGGATGTAATCATTGTACTTCACTGCTTTTTTTAAATGAAAAAGTGCGATGTCATTTACGTAAGTTTCCAAAATGAAGTCTGGATGGATACTGATTGCTTCGACTTTCATCATCTTGCCGTGTGGTTTCAGCCTGTATATGTTATTGGTTCCGATCACAGCTCTCCACTTCAAAGGGTCTCTGAAAGAAAGAGAGTATTGTTATGATCAACATGCTTCTCTAATCTCCTACTAGTTTTTGGCTTACTCAGGTTAAAGAAATCTTTAAATTCTTTTAAAAGTCAGAGGAACCACAATACCGGGGTTCAAGACATGCTGCACCCCAGCTGAAGGTAACTGCGTCGGTGGCCTTGTACCTAGGGCAATGTCACACTGCTGGAAGGAAGGGGCCAAGAGCTAGAGGGCATTATGGTTAATGTCAACTCTACGTTAACTATACCAGTGTGCCAGCATGCTTGCTTATTCTGTTTTTGAAAATAATGCTTTGGGAAGTTGGTGGACTCCAAGCTAGGACACACCACCCAACCCCTCAGGCCAGGGAACCAAGATTGACCTGGGAAGAGATCTGGAGAAGCGTTGGAGTGGGAGAGCTGGGGGTATGTTTGACAGGAAAGGAGTGACGCCTGGGGGATTCCATGGACTAGGCCACTGTACTCACAGGTAAGTGAGGCAGATGAGATGAGGTGGGCCAGAGGGGGGAAGCTGGCGGGCATGTCTGGATCAAACCAGGCCACAAAACAGGGCACCTGCCCACATGGGAGACCTGGGCTAGACTAAACAAGGAGGAGGAAGTGGAGGGGGAGAAAGAGGAGGAAGAAGAAGAAGAAGAGAGGTACAGTTATTTTGGTGCTGAACTACGTGAGAGCTGTGTCTGGTCATGGACCAGTTGTGGCTGGGCTGCAACACCCAGCACTAAGAACTGGAATTGAGCCCAGCGCGATAGCGTAGCGGTTAAGGTCCTCGCCTTGGACGCACCAGGATCCTATATGGGCGCTGGTTCTAATCCCGGCAGCCCCACTTCCCATCCAGCTCCCTGTCTGTGGCCTGGGAAAGCAGTCGAGGACGGCTACATGCAAGGAGGCTCCTGGCTTCAGATTGGCTCAGCTCCAGCCATTGCAGCCGCTTGGGGAGTGAACCATCAGACGGAAGATCTTCCTCTCTGTGTGTCCTCCTCTCTGTATATCTGCCTTTCCAATAAAAATAAATAAATCTTTAAGAAAAAAAAAAAAAGAGAGAACTGGAATGGCCATGGGCCAGCTGGGCAAGGACACTGTTCCTGTCAGGACAAGAGGTGGACAAAGTCAAGCTGGGCAAAGGACCCATGGTCACCTGGCCCAGGTCCTTTGGCCTAATGCACTATTGTTGCCAGGTCAGTGAGACCGGGGTAGGGGTCTGGCAGGGCCTGGGTCACCTGGCCCTGGTCCTTGGGCCCACTTGCACAGTGGGTGCTGGGTTTGTGAGCCCCATGGTGGGGGAGGGGTCCTTGGGCCCACCTGCACAATGGGTGCCGGGTTAGTGAGCCCCATGGGTGGGTGGGGAGTCCAGCAGAGTCTGGGTCACCTGGCTCAGGTCTTTGGGCCTGCCTGCAGTAGCCAATCGTCAATGGAATAGACGGAGCAATGGAGAGCAGGCCCTGATGCACATGGAGGACATGGCAGCCCATTGGCGCCTGCAGAGGGCACCTGCTACCATAGCAATGGAGGGATAACAAAGCAAATTGGACAGCCGCCCTAGTCAAATGACGACAGCAAACATTTGGGAAATGGAGATGCTAATGTGTGCTATAACAGTCAACAGGCATTGGAAGGTTTCCTCATCTTTGGATTAGTAACATCGACAGCATTTCAGAACTATCGAAACCACTTGGGCAGAACCCTCGGAGTCTGCACCAAATCGGAACCCTGGGTAGATATCAGCCATTCCCCCATCCCTGGGTACGGGGCAGTTGGGAGGCTGGGTATGGCCTCGCCTGTTATCTTGGCCCCATTCCCCCAGAAACAGGAAGAAGAAAAAGAATATAAGCAAGCAATGACCACATCTGCTTTTCCCCAACCCTCAATCCTTCCCAATCTGATCAACCATGTTAATATCATCAAAACATTGAAATCTATGCCGTTTTCTCATAATACGTATCCTCCATGAACACGGTAACGATCCGTCTATGTGTGGATTTAATTTTTTTTTTACATCAAAATTTACCTTTCATTCTATTTTCCAGGTACATTTTGAAGAATTCATGTGTCTGGTCAACTGATTCCCTATGAGGGTGCAAAGCCATTTAATGGGAGAAGGGCAGTCTTTTCCGCAAATGGCTCTGGCAAAACTGAATAGCTGCATATAAAACAATGAAATGGGGTCCACACCTTCTAGCATATAGAAAAATTAAAAATGGCTTAAAGACCTAAATTTAAGAGCTAAAACTATAAAGTTCCAGAAGAAAACATAGGGAAAGTTTTATGATACTGGATTTGGTAATGGTTTCACTATTATGAGCATGAAAACAAGGACAACAAAAGAAAAATATTCAGGTAAATTCGACTTCAACCGAATTGAACATTTTTATGAATTTAAGGACACTATCAAAGCAATAAGACAGACACAGAATAGGGGAAAATATGTGCAAATCGTATATCTGACGGGGATTCGTATAGAGAATATGCAAAGAACTACTACAGCTCAGCAGAAACAGCCCAGCTGGAAAATGGACGAAGAGGCAGTTGTGGTGCAGCCCGCTAAGCTGCCACTCGGGAGACTGCATCCCGTGTCAGAGCGCCGGGTGGGAGAACCAGCTATGCACCCCCAATCCAGCTTCCCGCCAACGCACCCAGTGCCACTGAGGTCCCGCTATCTCCCTGGGAGACTCGGGTGGATTTCCTGGTTCCCAACTTCAGCCTTGCCTAGCCCTGGCTGTGGCTGGCTCATATGGAATTACCCAAGAGACGTTAGACACTTCTCTCTCCTCACTCCTCTGTTACTCTGCCCTTTATATATGAATGTATTTGGAAGGTAGCTTTTACAGAGAAGAAACAGAGAGTGCAACAATTGTTCTAGCTGCTGCTTCACTTCCCAAATGGTCACAGCAGCGGGAGCTGAGCCAACTAAAGCCAGGAGCCAGGAACTTCCTCCAGGTCTCCCACGTGGGTGCAGGGACCCAGGACGTGGTCCATCCTCTGCTGCTTTCCCAGGCAAGCAGCAGCGAGCTGGATGGGAAGTGGAGCAGCCAGGACACAAACCGGTGCCATATGGGATGTCAGTGCAGAGAATCAGCCTGCTATGCCACTGTACTGGCTCCCAAAGTTAATTTAAATGTGAAGAACAATTGACTGCAGATCTATACAGGTGACCAAGGAGCATGTGGCAAAGTCGTCAGTATCATCGGTAATCTGGAAAGCAGAAGTCACAAGCATGAATGAGCTACCACTTAGAACACATTAGGATGGCTATTGGAGCAGCAGTGGGAGGGGTAACAGGAGGCTTCGGGGTGCTGGAGAACAGAGAAGCAGTAAGACTATAATACACAGGCTTCACAGGCCTTGAGGTCCAACTGGGCAGGCAAAGCGACAGACAATCAGATCACTTTCTGGATACCAGAGCCATGGGGGATGCTATTCACTCGGGAAACTCCCAGGGTTAGAAGAAATACACAGTCCCGTTTTTATGACTCCACAGACAGGCACGGTCAGAAACCGTCAGCACGCAATGACAGCTGCCGCAGAGGTCAGAGAGGCCTCCTCAGGACGTCACACAGCATGATAAGGCAGAGGGATTCGGACAGAATTCTAGAATACACTGCCATTTAAAAGAGGACAGGGAATGAGTGCTTCGGATGCCAGTTCAGGCACCCTGTCCTGCGGAGCACCTGAGCTGCACACCCCAGCCCGACTCCAGCTTCCCTCCAGTGTGGACTCGGGGCAGCAACAGTGATGGCCCAAGTAGCTGTGCCCCTTCTGCCAGCACGGCAGACCTGGACCAAGTGCCTGGATCCTGTCCAGCCCCATCCAAGCCCCACCCTCGGATGGGAGCTCCACCCACTTTCTTTCAAATAAAGAAATGAAAAATTTTACAATGACAAAAATCAAGAAAGGAGAGAAATGAAAACCTAAAGAACGGTGCCTAGAAATGAGAGCAGAATTTCAAGGAGAGGATGTGATAAATATTTTCTCATGCTTAGAGATGAACTAGGACGGGAACTGGGGTCACAGGATTTAGCACGCAAGTGTTTCGGTCACAGCAGCTGAGGTTTCAGGGGTCAATGGAAATTAAAAAAACAGGAGTCTTTTCCAAAGTCTCACTATGAAAGACCTGGTTTCTGGTTTTGTTTTATATAGCAAAGGAACAAAGCTTTCTTCCTTCATTTTCAAATTGCTTAAAAACATCTCACAATGGGTTATCATATGAGTGTGAATGCCAACACGCACACAGCCTTCCATCACAGCCACCCGGCTCATGCAGTATGCCCTGTGGGTGCTTCGGGCACGAGACTCTAGCAGACACCACATGACCTGTAACAACCCCAGGGTTTCACTGATTTTGCTGAAGTCTGCCCATCTCTGACTTTGGGGACTAAGATCCGCAAGTACAGCGTACTGGATGACTATATTGGTTATATATCCGCTATATCCACATGGCTACTTGCAAACGGAGGAACGTGGCTGAAGTCAAAGAGAATCAAGTCGGAGTTGCAGTCCGAATACCTACCTCTCGTCTTTGGTGCAGTGGGCGGCTGTGATCACCCACCTGTCTTTCACTAGACTTCCCCCGCACGTGTGAGCACTAAGACGGCCGTACGTAATCTGCAAGCTAACTATCCACGGCCATTTGCCTTCCGGAACTTCTGTGCCTCCTACAATGCGAGACCCTGTCAACATTTCCATGAGCGGGGCTCTTCCGCAACCTACAAAGGGAAATGACTGGTTATTGGGAGCATCTGTGTGTTTCCTCCTAAGAAGAAGACGTTAGTGCGAGCCTTCGGATTGCTATTTTAAAAACTGAGAAAGCAAACCGGATACCTGGCACACGCCCCCGTTGGTTAAGGAATCTTGGTGGACGGCGAGGCCTGCCACAATTGACGACTAATAAGTGGGAGGCATGAAATCAGCATAGCGCTTTACTGCTAAGACTTTTCCTCAAAAGTACACCAAAGTTTCTGCAGCCAGGTGCCACGCTCTCCCTCGCGGGAAGCGCATTAAACGTCTCGGGTTTACTGAGCCCCGAGCCGCAGCTCGCACAATACCTGTTATTCCACTTGGGTTAATGTGCTCAACTACAGTAAAAAGGCGGTCCTACGACGCGTCTGGCTCTGAGTCCTAATGAATTATTCATCTATAAAATGAAAATAATAGGCCGCAGGATGGTTGCAGGGACAGCTACAGACAACCTACGCAGACCCGCAGACCCGGGTCGTTCGTAACAGCATCATTATCCACGCGTCTACACTTTTGGTTATAGGCAGTTGGGCCAACACACAAAAGGAAGGACCCCAACTCAAATGCTGTCACTGTGGGAGAAAGGCTAGGAGGCTGGCCCGAGTAAGGAGCGGAAAGACTGCCCTTGGCATCAGAATGGTTGCTCTGGAAGATCCTAGGCCTCCGGGGTCCCCCACGCGCAGCCTGGGCCCAGGAGGGGCCGAGCAGGTTCCTTTCCGAAGGCGAGCGGTGCACCCAGTACAAGGGGAAGCTCCCGGCGAAGAGCAGCGCGGCGCCCACGACCCGCAGCACCATCCTGGAGCTCGCCAGCCGGTAAGATGGCGCGGACATTCTCACCGGCCGTGGGGGCCGCCGGGGCGCAGGGACGTTGGCAAGGGTCGCGTGGAAGGACGGGGCCGCAGGAGGACATCACGTCTCTCCGGACGGGAGGGCAGGGGCTGGGACCGAGCCAAGCAGCTCCCTGGAGATGCCACGTGCAGCACAGGCCATAGCCTTGAGGTGGCCAGCCTGGAGCTTAGCAACTCTGGGTAAGAACAATAAAAATGCGGTGTAAAGACCTGCCACGTGGAAGACGAGGCCTGACCGGTGGCATTTGTGTGCACACAGGCCTTAGTCCCCAGCTCATTCCTCGCCCCTCCAGAACCTCTTTTGCTTGGAAGAGAAGGCTGCAGCCCGGCAGGCCTGGCGAATCACCTGCAGTAGATCTGTCAGGAGCGGTAAGGGGAACATTGTAACCGGTACGTGAGAGACCAAGAAAGGAGACTGCGGACACGTGTGAGGCTAGCATGAGTTCAGAGCCAAGCGAATGGGTTTGTGGCAGGCTCCCTGACAGAGCCAAGTGTGAACAGAGTGCAGTAAGCTGGGGCTGTCAGTTGGACTCCAGGTGTCCACCGGAGAAAAAGAAAAAAAATGCCAACAGCCCTAGGGGCTTTGCCAATTTTGACCATAATCTTACAGTGGTCCATCATGGTCCTGAGGCAGGCCAATGGATTCTTCATCCACTCTGCCATCCAGAGGGTCCGGTGCCTGACTGATGGTCTTCCTTATCAGGAACACTTTGACATGACCCAGGCTTGTTTTTTGTCGTCATCTCAAGAGGCCAGGGTGACGGTAGCAGGTAAGCCACCACCTGTTAGCAGAGCCTGGGTTCAATGCCAGCTGCTCCCCTTCCAGCCCCGCTCCCTGCTAGTGTACTGAGAAAGCAGCAGGTGGCCCAAGGGCTCAGGGGAGACCTGGAGGGTGTGCCAGGCACCTGGCTTCCACCTACCCAGCCCCTGGCATCCATTTGGGAAAAGAACTATCAGGTAGAAGAGCTCTGCCTCTCTTTCTCTGATGCTCTTTTAAATAAATCATTTCTTTAGAGAATAACGTTTAACACCTGTCTTGTCATTTCCATTTTGAGCCCAACCCTGCTTAGCCCTGCCACCTCAGTACAAGGGGACAGTGCGTCCGCCGGTAGCTGGGAGGCCGTTCATGTGGTGGGGAAGGAGGGGTCAGTGAAAGGACAGTCCCCTGGCCGAGGCCATCCCTGCGAGGCTGACTGGGAACAGGGAGTGATGTGTGGGAGAGAAGTCCTTCCCTCGGGCCAGAGCTGCAGGCAGTGGGTGGCCCCGGAGACACGCTGCTGGCGGCAGACCTGAAACGCGCTGCCTGCTGTCCGAAGGGGGATGTTGGAAAGGGATTTGTTTTTTGTTTGTCTGCCTTGTTGTTCTTGTTCCACCATGGCTGGTTGAATGTTCCGTTCTCAGCTGCCTCCCAGAGTGATAACACATATAGCTCAAACAGCAAACCCACAGTAGCTGTGGAAACTGTGACAAGGGTTGCATTATACTTGTAAAACAAGTTGGGCTTGTACCCATTTCATAAACGTACAAGACTTGGTCATGTACCTTAGCACATATATATGTATATAGTATATGGTATGTGGTATATAGTATATATAGTATATGTACATATGGTATATGCGCATATAGTATAATTTTCACCAATATAACATGTATGGTATCTAGGGTCCATTTACCATATGCGGTTTTTGCTTTTTGATAAGATTGGGCCAAAACTAAACCGGAGTCCTTGCTGCACGTTCCTGCCTGTAGAGACAGTGATGAATTTCTGTGACAACCAGCTTTGCTAGGACAAGTGACAGGGGTTTCACGGGCAAAGGAAAAGGCAGCCAAGCCGGGGTGTTCTGCCTAGGGGTCCCCTCTGTTCTTCAGTCCTTCACCGTCACCCGTTTCTGTGAGCTGCCCTGTGGCCCTGCGGAGGGACCTCCCCCAGGAGACAGCAGGAATCTGGTGTCGTCAGGTGAAGGGCTAGCTGCCCATGGTGCAGCCCCATATGAGGGAGCTTAGCAGTAGCCACTTCTCTGGTCAGACCTTCAGAGGAGACCACGGTGCTGGGTGACGCCCTCTATGCAATCCATCAGAGAGCTCAAACGAAGGGTCCTCACCATGTGGGACAGATGCGTGAGTCCTGTTCTGGAGCACCCGGACTGGGCCCAGCCCACAGCTCCTGACTCCGGCTTCCTGTTAACGCAGGGGTGGAGAGGCACAAGTCATCGGGTCTCCGCCACCCATGGAGGAAGCCTGGATTGAGTTTGTGGCTCCTGGTGCTGACCCTAGCTGAGTCCGGCCCCAGCTGGTATAAGCAGTGAGGGCACGGGGTCAGAAGACGGGAGCTGTCTGCCTGCCTCTCAAAGAAAAGGGAAAAGGGTTTGTGGACCCATGGTATCTAAAGTTATTTTGGTGCAAAAACAATTCAAAATTCATCCATGGATTTTCGTGTGACACAGGAACTTTTTGAAGACCCCCAGGTATGACTGTACTTCAGATGTTTCTACAGCAGAGTAAACTGATTTAATACCCCATGCACTTCATGAAGTACCCCGACATGTAGAGACAGTGACAGTACTGAGCACATCCATTTAAGAAAAAGAGCATTCTTGTTACTTTTGCAACCCCTTATGTGTCCCTCCATTATTCTAATCCAATTTTCTTTCCCTTAGAACGAACCAGTATCCTTGGGGTTGGCACTGTGGTTCAACAGGTTACTCCTCCGGTTTCAAGCGTCGGCATCCCAGAGGGGCACCGGTTCGTGTTCCAGCTGCACCATGTAGCTCCCTCTTAACGTGCCCGGGAAAGCAGTGAAGGATGGCTCAGGTGCTTGGGATCCTGCACCCATGTGGGAGACCCGGAAAAGGATCCTGGCTTCTGGCTTCAGATTGGTGCAGCACCGGTCGTTGCTGTCACTTGGGGAGTGAATCATCGGACGGAAGATCTTCCTCTCTGTCTATACTCCTTTCTGCATATATATCTGACTCTGCAATAAAAATAAATAAATCTTTAAAAAAAATGAAAAGGTAAGTCTACTATAGTATAAAACTTAGAAATCCATACATACATGATCTTAATAAGCTCATGGAGGGCCCAGCACAGTACCCTAGTGGCTAAAGTCTTTGTCTTGCTTAGGTCAGGATCTCAATGGGTGCCAGGGTTAATCCCAGATGCCCCACTTCCCATCCAGCTCCCTGCTTGTGGCCTGGGAAAGCAGTCGAGGACGGTCCAGAGCCTTGGGACCCTGCACCCGCGTGGGAGACCCAGAAAGAAGCTCCTGGCTCCTGGCTTCAGATTGGCTCAGCTCTGGCCATTGCAGCCACTTGGGGAGTGAAGCCGCAGAGGGACGATCTTCCTCTCTGTCTTTCTCTCTGTATGTCTGCCTTTCCAAATAAATGGAAAACTACAAAAATGTAAAAAGGCAAGTTAGATGAAATTTTAAAAAATTGAAAATGTATACAATGAGAGATTTCAAAAACGTTTGCACAAAACAAGCATCTTTTTAAAATAATATGGCTTTGTCACCCAGTGCACTAAGCTGCCATTTACAATGGCTGTATCCCATGTCAGCATGTCAGTTAGAACCCTGGCTGCTGTGCTGTTGACCCAGTGTCCTAATGTGCCTGAGAACGTAATGGATGATGGCCCAGGGTCCCAGACACCCACAGAGCCTGGACCAGGCCAGGCTTCTGCCACTTGGACAGTGAGCTCTCCCTCCCCGCTCTCATGTCTCTCATCTGGCCTTTCAAATCAGTCTTAGTTCTTGAGACATGCCCATCTGCTGACTCACTCCTCAGAGACCCCTCACGGCCGGGGTACGAGCCAAAAACTCAACCCACGTCACCCACAGGGAGGCAGGGACCTGATATAGCTTTCCAGGGTCTAATACAGCAGGAAGCTGGAGTGAGTGGTTGGACCCAAGCACTGAGAAGTTCATTCTGATATGGGATGCAGGCATCCTGTTGCTAAGCCAAAGATGTGCTCCAATAAGCATCTTTTTTTTTTTTTTTAAATTACAAAGTCAGATATACAGAGAGGAGAGACACAGAGGAACATCTTCCATCCAATGGTTTACTTCCCAAGTGACTGCCACGGCCTGAGCTGCGCCGATCCGAAGTCAGGAGCCAGGAGTTCTTCCAGATCTCTCCCATGTAGGTACAGGGTCCCAAGGCTTTGGGCCGTCCTCGACTGCTTTCCCAGGCTACAAGCAGGCAGCTGGCTGGGAAGCAAGACTGCCGGGATTAGAACTTGAGTCCATATGGGATCCTGACGTGTTCAAGGTGAGGACTTTAGGTGCTAGACCACCGAGCGGGGCCCCCATAAGCATCTTCTAATCTCACTTTCCATGAATTTTTGAAGTCCCCACCTATTTTTACCTTTGCAGAACTTCTGAGTTTAAAATGCAGGGTCGCCATCTAGTGGACATATGCAATACAACCTTTAAATTTGATGCTTGAAAGTTTCTAAGATGCATTTGGGCCATTATACACTGCATCCCCCACCCCACCCCCCCCTTTTTTTTTCTGCTTATCACCTGCATCCAATGGTCAAACATTAATGCCCCCACTTGTGACTTCACTACTTATTCCCCTAAAAAAGCAGCAGATGGATTGAATGCTTGGGACCCTGCCATCCACGTGGGGGACCCAGTGGAGTATCTAGCACCTAGTTTTAACCTGGTCCAACCCTGTGCCACAACCATTTTTAGAAGCAAAATCATCAAATGGAAAATTTCTAATTCCCTCTCCAGTACGCTGCCTTTCAAACAAGTAAGTCTTGGGCCCGGTGTGATGGCTCAGTGACTGATCCTTGCCTTGGAAGTGCCAGCGTGCCATATGGGCACAGCTACGAGTGCTGACTGTTCCACTTCCCTTCCCGCTCCCGGCCCATGGGCTAGAAAAGCAGTAGAGGGCAGCAAAGCCTTGAGTCCTTGCGACTTCATGGAGACTTAGAAGCTCCTGGCACCTGGCTTTGGATTGGCTCAGCTCTGTGCATTGCAGTCATTTGAGGCAGGCAGTGAACCAGCCGAGAGTATATCTCCTCTACTAAACCTGATCCGCCTTTCCAATAAAAATACATCTTAAACCATAAATATTAAAACAGAACAATGAAACTCAAGGGGGAGGGATACTCTCATCAAGCACAAATTGGTTTAGACCTGAGTCTGAACTGCTGTTTAATTATTTGTTGCCTAGGACAAAGTATCAAAGCACCATGTACCTTAAGTGTGTTTGAATCTAGATCTGCATTCATTTAACAAATACTCCAAAGCACTCCTGTGAACAGTTACCTGTGAAGCTTTATGTGAGCACGAGACAACCCGTACAGTGTGGTGTTCATTAGGGGTGCACGGGGCTTACTATTTAAACACACACACTTAAAAGGCAAAGTTAAAGACGTTTATGTAAAAGGTAAAGTTAGAGTGCGATATGGGGGATTCTCAGTATGCTGGTTCATTCCCTAAATGGCCACAACTGGACCAGGCTGGACCAGCCCAAAGCCATGAGCGGGGATCTTCCTCCAGGGCCCCCACATGGGAAGGGATTTGAGCCATCCACTTCTTCCCCAGGTACATCAGCAGAGAGCTGGATCAAGAGCGGGGCAGCCTGGGACTCCAAGCGGGGCTGAAGTGGGATGCCAGCATCTCAAGCTTAACCTGTTACACCAGTGTCACCCCAGGGCTTAGGAGATGAGGTTTAAATCTTAGATCCTGGTCATCAGTGATCATATAACCAGGTTAGACAAGTACTTAACCTCAGGGATGGTCTTAAGATCCAGGTCTCGAGCTGGCACTCTGAAAGGGGCTGCCAGCACTGTCTGTGGCTGCTTAGGCCAAGAATCCACAACACATCAATTTATAAAGGCACGAGGATTAGGTAAAATAGTAAGTTAACCTAGGAAACAGTTCCATTAATCTTGCATTTCTGAGGCCTGATTCCATGTCTGCACTCCAATCATCTGAGACTTTTAATAGGTTTCACATTAGGAAAACAGACAAATTTGGTATGCATCCAAGGAATCTTCAACAGCTGCCCAGCCTGGCTGCCACAGCCAGAGAAAGCAAGCTGGTTTGATGAGCAACATTCTATAATGAGAAGTGTGCAGGCAACAAAGTTTAAAATACCTGAAAACAGAGCCATTTTGGCACTAAGAGCTCATCCCTTACAAGCATGACACCATCTCATATATTGCAATTATACCACTCCTCTGGGGACCAGTATTGCTGTGCATCAATTTAAGCTGCCACCTGCAATGCTGGCTCAAGCTGCTCTACTTTCAATCCAGCTCTCGGGCCAAGAGCCATGGCCTAGCACCTAAAGTCCTCACGTTGAACGCACAGGGATCCCATATGGGCACTGGTTCTAATCCTGGCGGCCTTGCTTCCCATCCAGCTCCCTGCTTGTGGCCTGAGAAAGCAGTCGAGGACGGCCCAAAGCCTTGGGACCCTGAATCCACGTGGGAGACCCAGAAGAGGTTCCTGGCTCCTCGCTTCGGATCGGCACAGCACCGGCCACTGCACTCTTGGGGAGTGAATCATTGGAAGGAAGATTTTCCTCTCTGTCTCTCCTCTCTGTATATCTGACTTTGTAATTAAAAAATAATTCTTTAAAAAATAATAATAACAACAAATCCAGTTCTGTGCTAGTAACCAGGAGAGCCGATCCTAGCACAGTTCCAGGCTTCCAGTCCTAGTGGCCATTTAGCAGTAAATATGTCCTCTCCCTCTGCCTTTCAAATCAACCAACCAGTCGATCATGTTTCTAGAATATGCTATTCTGACATAGCCTGGTGACGCCATGCCTCCTCCTGCTCTTTAGGCCTCCAGGATCACTAGTTTGAGATTAAGGCTGCACACAGGATAGTTGAGTGATTTCAATGAAATGCCCTGATGATGAAACTTTATCAGTTGCTACCTCGTCAACACAGTCCTATTCTCAAAGACTCGGAATGAGAGATGTGAACGGAGGAGCAATCCTGAATGGGCAAGTTGGTAAGATTTTCTATGAAACAGGCTCCCTCAGAGCAGCAGTTAGCCGACTAATGGAATTCCAGCTTGAACCTCCATCGCTACAAACACATCTCACTGAAAACTAGAAACGCAATGTAATCGGTGCAATTAGCACAAACTATCAACGAGCCCGGACAAAGCATCACACCGCACATTCAGCAAACTTGATTTCATCCAATTTTTTAATTTCTTTGACAATATGATACATATTGTATTAAGCACACAATAATCTTGCAGTACAATTTCAAAGAGTATACAAATTGGAACACAGAGGTTAAACACTGGTATATGGCATTTTTAACTTTAGATAAATTGTATATAAAACTTACAATTAAAATATTAGCCAATCTGAAAACTTCTCGTAATATAAAAATGATACTTTGAGATGTAAATTTTTTACTAAACAAACTATATAAACATTTAAAATAATCATTAAAAACTCAATATTAGAATTTATAAAGATCAGCTATAAAAATATATTGGCAGTCACTTTTTTTATAAAGGTACCATTCACTAACATACAAAATAGTCTCTAACATAAAATTACCATACTATTTTAGGATCTAAGAAACCTTACAGTAAATTGACTATAAAATTCTCTTGGAAAAACTTTGGTATGCATCTTCAGGGTTTTTTAAAATAATATTTTCAAGGCCTGTAAACATTCCATTCTATTAAAGCACAATAGAGTAAGTAATGGATATTCAACTGCATACAGAATAATTGAAAAAAAATTATTATATATTTGTAGAAAATCACCATTGCCAGAATGCGCAAGAAACAATTGAAAAATATCAAAGTACTAAACAGTTTTTCTTTCCATTTTCATAAAAAAAAAAAGTTATAAAATCACCATCCTCCCTCAGGCACTTCGCTCCTGTGCGGGATCTGCCAATGCTTAGCCCGCTTCGCCAACCTCTCAGGTCAACATCACACTGACGGTGGACAAGCACACATAATCACAACACATAATTTATCCTTTAGGAACATACCAAGGTTCTTTTTTACAACTGTAATTTAGAATTTATTAGCAGAAATGAAACACACAACACACACTCACACCAACCAAAAAAGGTAAATTTGAGGAAACAGGAAAAAATGCAAGCCTACAGGGTCAACTGTTTTAGAAATTCAGTTTGCTGCCCTCCATCTTGTCCTGTGCTCTTGAGTGTGACTGCCCCTCGGCTTCCAGTGGCGCCCCTGGCTTCCTTGAAGTCGTTTTCCATTTAATCTTCTTTCAGTCGATCTCTTGCAATGCAAAAAACCTAAATAAAAAGCTTCACTTTTGACCTTTTAATTTATACAACTCCACTAAAAAGAAATCCAACTAACTTTTAGTCCACAAAAATATTTTCTTTCTCAAGAATCAAACACTTTTATGGGAATAAAGATCCTTTAAAGTTTTTAACTCTTCTATTAGAGTTTTATTTTGATTTTCCAGGACTGCAACTCGATTTTCCAGGCATTTCACGTATTCTTTCTTCTTTCTGCGACATTCTCTAGCAGCTTCCCTAAATACAAACATTTTTTTTAATGTTAGAAAAAAATATATCACATTCTTTAGACAGTAAATTTTCCTCAGCAATTTTACCTGGTCACCTTTTCTCCCTCGTTTCAAAAATTAAGTTCTTACTTACAGCAAAGAAAACAGACCCTAAATGAAGAACTCAGTCAGGGTTGACCAACGGCTGTGTTTCCCTAGAGACATAATACTCTCACAGCCCCAGAAAGTTCCCACCTGCCTCTGCCTGCTCAGTCCTCTCCCAAGCAACCACTAGCTGGATTCTTATCACCACACATTAGTTTCCTGCCTAAGAACCTGAGATAACAAGGCCGCTGGCATGCCCTTTCCACTGGGCGGGTCGAGGTTCATTCCTGTCCCCGAGTACTGCCTTGCTCCTATCAATGGGGGTTTCCACCATGGAAATACACGCTGCTGCTTCAGTGTCTGAACTGTCTGCACGGTGAGATGCTGTGCCAGTTTTTCTGTAGACCTCTGTCTCACTTCTCTGGAGTAAACACTAGAGAGTGAAACAGAAGGGTCTTCTAGCTAATTTCTGACATGTGATTTTTTCACCTTCTACTTCGGAAGTCTCGATTAGAAGCAGTGCTTCAACAATGCTGTGCACATCTTTTCAGAACATTTCTGTGAAGTCACACGTAAGTTATACAAAATCAACATAAAGAGGTGGAATGTTGCTCTGAGCTTTTAGACTGTCTCACTCACACTGCTTTAGTGCTGTTTCCATGTTGGCACACAGACCTGCTTTAAAAGGCCGTGCACGGGACCTCATTACCGTCTATCTAATATGACCTCGTATTTACAGATCACATGTCTTTCCTTTCCCTAGACCTTTTATATTCATTTACAGAAATCAATATATTACCTATATCTGGCTGTACATAGATATATAGATCGGTATGCTATAATGATATATAAACTTGCAAATATTCTTCAGAGGTAAAAGACTTATTTTGAAGTTTATTTGTGGCAGAAACTATATACTATAAAACTTCAATTTTCTTCTACAATATATGTGAACAACTCTTATATACTAGATGGGAGTCAATTTCAATGTTTTCCATGTGACATTTCATTGTAAATTATTTCTCTAATTAATGAGGTTGAGCATCTTTTCAACTGGTCTGTTTCTCTGTATTTACTTACCACAGCCCACTTATCAATTCTAAAAATCCTGTATTTATTACACATACTATTTTGTCACTTTTTAGATTCATTTCAAACCATCCATTTGACTTTCTTTTGTGTGTGTGTGTGTATGTGAAAGGCAGAATTAGAGGGAGAGGAAGAGTCTTCCACCCACTGGTAACTCCCAAACGGCCACACAGCCAGGCTGGAGTCAGGCCAAAGCCAGGAGCCTCTTCTTGAGTACAGGACCAAGCACTTGGGCCAGCTCAAACTGCTTTCCCAGGGGCACCAGCAGGAAGCTGGATGCAGACACAGCAACAAGGACTCAAGCAGTGCTCATATGGGATGCCAGTATTGTCATACCTTTAGTTCCTGTCTCTAACATGCTCTGTGACATATTGTTTTGAAAGTCAGATGTACAGAGAGGAGAGGCAGAGAGAAAGATCTTCCATTCGCTGATTCACTCCCCAAGTGGTTGCAATGGCCAGAGTTGAGCCAATCCGAAGCCAAGAGTCAGGTGTTTCTAATGGGTTTCCCACATGGGTGCAGAATCCCATGGCTTTGGGCTGTCCTCGACTGCTTTCCCAGGCCACAAGCAGGGAGCTGGATGGGAAGTGGTACAACTGGGACATGAACCAAATCCCAATAGGGATCCCGACACATGCAAGGCAAGGAATTAGCCACTACGCTACCACACTGGGCCTTAATTTTACTCTTAAAAGTTTGTAGTGTTTCAGTCTTCACAAGTCTTTCAAACGACTTGTAGTTACTTGTGTATAAATTAGGTGTCCAGGGATAGGAGACTGGTAAATCAACGAGGGTGCCTGCATCCCATAAGAGGGTGCCTGGTTGTATCTGGTATTCTGTGTCTAGCCCAGCTTCCAGCTGATACTCAATCTGGGAGGCAGCAAGGAATGGCTACAGTACTTGGTCCCTGGCACCCAGATGGGAGATCTGTAATGAGACCTGGCTTTTGGTCTAGCTTAGCCTTGGCTGCTGGCAGACAGCTGGGGAGTGAACTAGTGGTCTCTCCGCTTTTCAAACAAAAGGAAAACTGAAAAAAGAAAGAAAATAGGTCCAGCTTAATTTCCTTCCAAATGTGGAGCTGGTCAAGCCGACACAGCTAATAAGCCATCCCTTGCACAAGCACTTCAGAGCACAAGAAGACACTGCTGCCCTGCCTGCTGCCTGATCCTATGTTGATCACAATACTCATTGCAGTTTTAATGGTGTTCGAGTACTTCAGTGTCTAATAGAAAAGGAACTTCTTCCCATTCTTGAATACTTACTTCTTCCATGGAGACTCTCAACTTATTTTGTCTACTTCCTTGAAGATTTGGAAATGTTGAATTAGAACTATATTAAATTTATATGCAAAACTAAAAAGCACTGATATTTAATATTAACTTTTTAAAAAACTATTTTTACTGAAAAGGCAGATTTAGGGACAGAAGGAGAGACAGAAAGATATTCCACTCACTGGTTCACTTTCCAAATGGCCACAACACCTGGAGCTGAACTGACCCAAAGCCAGGAGCCAGAAGCCTCTTCCTGGTCTCCCACACAGGTACAGAGTCCCAAGACTTTGGGCCGTCCTCAACTGCTTTCCCAGGCCACAAGCAGGGAGCTGGCTGGGAAGTGGAGCAGCTGAAATACAATCCGGCACCCATATGGGATGCCAGTGCTTGTACGTGGATTAGCCAATTGAGCCATCACACCAGACACCCTCTACCCCCGACTCTATCTTGAATCAGTACATTTCCTAAATTGTTCAGATACAGTTCAACTCAAAGATTTTAAAAAATGGATCTTATGCTTGTCCTGTTAAATTCTTCCTAAATATTTCATGTGTTCCATCAATTAAGATGAGGGTAGTATTATTTCCCATTGTTATTTTGAAGACGGTTATTGACAACAGAAAAACACCTGTCATGGTTGACTTGGGCATCATGGTTGATAGGGCTAAGGGATACCTAGAGAGCTGGAGAATTACTATTTCTGGGCATGATCTGTGAGGGAGTTTCCAGGAGAGGTTAGTATGGCATGTGTAAATAAAGAAGATGCACCCTCACCATTGTGGGTGCCCATCATCCAATCCGCTGAGGGCCTGGATAGAACAAAAAAGCAGAGGAAAGGTGAATTGCCGAGACGGGGGCTAGGACACTCCTGGATCCTGGCCTTGGACATGAGCGCTCCTGCAGATTCTAGGGCTCGGGCCTGTGCTCTCGCCCCCAGTCACTGGCCTGGCACTGGATCCCATCACTGGCTAGCCTCCTTGCCCCCTGGCAGCCAGCCTATTACAGGACTTCTAGGGCTCTGTAACTGTGTGAGCCATTCTGTTTCTTTGGAAAATCCTAGCATCCTACTAAATTTACTTACAAATTACCGTGGTTCCTAAAACTCTGTAGGAAGCAGCACAGAGGTAAAGAGGCGCATGTGATATGGGTGTCAGTTAGGAAGCACAGTGTACACCTGAGGATGTGTGCACACAACACCCGCCTTGGCAAGACACAGCACGACCAGGCTGACGTGCTGCCTCTGGCTGAGAAGCCCTTACAGCTCTGATCCTGTGCTCACGTGTATGATTCCAAACGGGACATCATGTTTAGCTTCCTCATTTTCAAAGGCTCTAAAGTATTTTATCACTAGGTACTTTACTTTTTTCCCCTGATTTTGGCTGTGAACGTTTTTATGCATACTTCTGCAAAGTCTCTCTGTCGCATACACAGAGGACAGCAGCGATCACAAGGATGTCTGGGTCGGCCATACAAGATAAAGCCCCAGTGATTTCCGAAGCAGCTGCGCGGTTCACATTCCTAGAGCTGTATGCAAGTTCCACTGCTCTAAATGCTTGCCAGCCGGTGGACAGGCAGGCACCTAAGTGCGTGGCATCAAGCTGCATTTCCCTCATTGCTCATAAGGCTGAGCAGTCTTTCGCGTGGTTATTACCCACCCATATCTTTCGCAATCTATTCATCTTTGTGATTCAAAGATTTTTTTTTTTTCCAAACAAATCTGCTGGTCAGGTATGATAAACATCTTCTACATGTGTAAAGATGATATTTTCAATATCTTTGTGTTACCCTCTGTGTTATTCTTTGAACGAATAGAAGTGATTTCTTTCAGTGAAATAAAATGAATTCATGTTTCTTCTTATTTTTCTGTGTCTATTGTCCTAATTAAGCAATTCTTTGGTTTATACATTGACTAAAAGATTTTTAAATTTTTTAAGTTTTTAATCCATCTGGAATGATTCCTGGATGAGGTGTGAAGAAGAATCTAATGTATTGTTTTTTTAACTTGAGTTTCCAACATTCTAGCATTGTTCGCTGAGACCACCCCAACCATCTATCATGTTCTATCAATGGGTCCTTTGTTCATGCATCTAATTCAGGGCTCTCCAGTCTACTTCATTAATCAATGTGTTTGTCTTTAAAATTCTTATTTTAAAAGAAGAAAGAGAGATCTTTCATTTCTCAAATGCCTGTAACAGCCAGGCTTGGGCTAGCCCTGAGCCAGGGGCTTGGCATTCAGTGTGGTGGTTCAGACTCCACTCGGGACACCCACATCTTACACTGCAGTGTCTGGCTTTAGTCCTGGCTCCCCAGCTTCTGATCCAGACTCCTACTGATGGATTCCCTGCCACTCACACGGGAGTCCCAGGTTCAGTTTCAGACTCCTGGCTTCAGCCTAGTCAGGCACTCGCTGCTGTAGGTGCCTGAGCAGTGAACCAACAGAAAGAATAACATGCTCTCTTTCAAAATGAACTGAAAATTTATAAACTTATTTGTACAGCGAGGAGCCAAGAACTTAATCCAGGTCTCCCACACAGACAGCAAGGACCAAGTACCTGAGCCACCACTGGTTGCCTCCCAGGACACAGATAGCAGGGTACTGACAGGAGTCAGGGACGGGGCTGGAATGCAGCCACTCTGACACGGGGTGTGGGCACCCCAGATACCTCAAACACCTGGTCACACAGTTTTTACTTATTTTTCCTGTTTTGCTAAACTGGAAAAGGATTCCAGGGCATTGATAAAGAAAACCAGTTCTTTTCAACCTTTCAAATAATTTATAGTTTATTCTTGTGAACACTTTAGGTAGAGAAATACATGTGTGTTGAGACTGGCGTGGTGGTTCAGCAGGCTGATCATCATCTAGCTGCACGCGGGATCCCATGTGCGCACAGGCTCCTGTCCTGAGCAAGAAGCTCTCGCTCCGGGCTTCCCATCAGCTCAGCTCTGGCTACTGAGGCCATTTAAAGAGCAGGAGATCTCTCTCTCTCTCTCTCTCTCTCTCTCTCTTTCTTCTCTCTCCTTCGCTCTGTAAAGCTGCCTTCTCAATAAAAATAAATAAATACAAATAAAAGATGTATTCTTTTAAATACATCTTTGCTAACGTTGATTTTATATTTTCCTTTCCAATGCATTTTTCTTAATTGTCCCTGGTCCTTGACGATTTTCAATGGCATCTTTTATCTTTAAAACCTAGACACACATCTTGCCCTTCTCCAGTTATAAATTCCCTTTTACATTTGCTGTTTCCATCTTCTTCCTGAAAGGCAGTATCTAAAACTTTGGACCCTGACACCTGGAATTCTTGAGACTTAAAGCCCTGTGAACTCACGAAAACCAACTGCTGTGTGAAAAGCTGTGCTCACCATGGCTACTTCAATAAAACTGAAAGAACTCTGTCACACACACAGCAGTCTAACTAATCCATTGATAATGAACTTCATCTAGTACTAAGGAAAACAAAGCTCCTCTCCTGGGTCAGTTACACAAGTCCAACTACCATTTGGTTGTATCTTGAGATTTGAAAAACACTACCGATTCTGGCAGTCATATAACTTTACTACGTACCTGTTTTTCATCAGCCGTATTTCTCTTTTCAACTGGGGGTCATCTGTCTTAGCTGCCTGAGATGTCAGTGTCAGCGGTGACGTCATCACCACAGTCTGTGGCAGTGAAGTAGCTGAGGGTGTGGTCCGGATCTGGTATGTCTGCATGTCTCCCGATGCAGCTGTGTGACCCAAACAGCGAGTTAACTGACAAGCTGGGAGAGGATTCTGGGACACTTGATACAGGCACATAAACATACTTACTCTGCACCACCACCTGGTTGCTGGGCACAAGAATCTGCTGTCCATCAGAGGTCTGCGCATACTGGAGAATCGTCCCTTGCTGAGCACTGCCCGAATTTGTCATGGTCAATGTCTGCAGGCCCTGTATGCCATCTGTGCCTGGACTGGCCAGCTGTAAGGCTCCATTTGGGGCAATAGCAACTTTAACCAAAGAGAGAAAATAGCATTTGTGAGGCTATAAACAAATTAGTTAAAGGAGTAAAAAAAAAAAAAGTAAATACTAGAAAACACAAAGCAGCTCTGAATGCAGTTCTACTAGGTCACGGTTGATTGCCTTGAGTAACTATACATAAAAGCAATAAATGAAATTTTAAAATAAATGTTTATAGTTCAAAAGTACTACCTTGAATTTGGTCTTATACTGCGTAATACATTGTTCAAAGACAGCCTATTTTGGAGGTAGCATCACAGCTCAACAGGCTAATCCTCTACCCTGTATCCCAATGGCACCTGATTCTACTCCAGCTGTTCTACTTCCCATCCGGGTCTCTGTTTATGACCTGGCAAAGCAGCAGAGCACAGAACAGTCCTTGGGACTCTGTGCCCTTGTGGGAGAGCTGAAGCGGCTCCTGGTTCCCAGCTCTGAGCAGCTCAACTAAGCTCCGGCCACTGCGTTCACCTGGGAGTCAATCAACAGATGGAAAACATCTCATCTCTCCTCTCTGTAATCTGCTTTCCAAACGAAAATAAATTTCTTAGTTTTTTTTCTAAAGTGGCCGATTTTGGAACCCACGGAACACTTCATACTAATTGCCAATGTTGTCTCAGCAGTACTAGGGCATTAGAGCAAGATACCAACTTCTAACTGCTAAGGAAAATAAAAAATAATTAAAAACTGGACTATACATTTTAAACATTAAAAAGATCACAACTGAAAAATACGTAACAGGTAAAGTTTGCCCATGGACAAAAGTTCAAACTGAACAAAAGCTTCTATAATTCTTAGATCAGCGTGGAATCTCATCGTTCACTGCCTTGGGAAGCACCAACAGGGCCAAGTTCCCAGGGAGTCACTTTACAGATTACGTTACTTAGCTCCTCACACACATTTTTCACTTATGTTTTCCTTGCAGTTCTTGTGTGAAATACCAAACAGGAGGGCAAAACAAACAAACAAACAAAAAAACCACCACCTGTCTAAGCATTTAAATAAGCCCCTTCAGAAACCAATGCGCCGCCTCTGTTCCTCTTTTGAAATCATAACTATGCAAGACTCTGCTATCCTTTTGAGCTTCTGCTACCAGGAAACCAAAATTTACTTGTGAGTATTTTGTGTATTTAAGTAAAAAAATAATTTTTACCAGAAATTTCTCATTATCCCCTACGTACATCCATTGTTTAGACCACTTATAAAAGTTGCCGAAAAAAACAAAATTAAAAGATGTCATTGTGGTATCAAAGAAAGTTTAAAACCCATGCATAGCTTTTTCATAATATGTAAATTTCAATCACTTTCTAAATACTGCTCAAGCATACTTTTTTAAAACTTTTATACCAAAATAATCTTTTAATTGCATTTTCCCAAAATTTTTTTAAACACTCATGTGACTTAAAATATAAAGATTCATTACAAATTTTCAGATGCAATAGTTTGAAATTAAATTATTAGTTACAATGCCTCATTGCAACATGTATGCTTTATAAAGATTGTGAGAGGGCCTGGCATGGTAGCCTAGCAGCTAAAGTCCTCACCTTGCACATGCTGGGAACCCATATACTCACTGGTTCTAATCCCAGCAGCTCCACTTCCCATCCAGCTCCCTGCCTGTGGCCTGGGAAAGCAGTCGAGGACGGCCCAAAGCTTTGGGACCCTGCACCTGCATGGGAGACCCAAAAGAGGCTCCTGGCTCCTGGCTTTGGATCGGTTCAGTTCCAGCTATTGCGGTCACTTGGGGAGTGAATCATCGGACATTTTCTGTCTCTTCTCCTCTCTATATATCTGACTTTGCAATAAAAATAAATGTATCTTAAAAATAAAATCTGGAGAAAAAGTATATTTTGGTACAAAAACTGTGAAATCTATACATAGCTTTTATTGTTGTTTTTAATTTACTTTTGCATAGTTCATAGCACAGTTTCCAAAAACAGTTTGAAGACTGATGATATGTAAGAATTTTAAAATTTTTTCTATTTGACCAAAATAAACATCTCTTGGTCTTTGCCCCATGAATTTTTTTTTTTTTTTTTTTTACATTTACTTTTATTGGAAAGGCACATCTACCAAAAGAAAAGACAGAGAAAGATCTTCCATCTGCTGATTTCCCAGGCCACAGGCAGGGATCTGGATGGGAAGTGGAGCAGCTGGGATACAAACCAGTGCCCGTATGGGATCCCAATGTGTGCAGGAGAGGGTTTAGCCACTCGGCCATCATGCCGGGCCTCCCCATGGACTTTTAAAGCACTTGTGTGTATTTTAAAATCATGCTGTAGATTATGGTGCTCTAACATCTGGCTATTTAAATTAACTGAAATCAAACAAAGATTCTTCAGTGTCACCAGCTTTTTCAGTCCCATGGTTACTGTACTGCCAATGATCATAGGAAGGCCTACTTGTATAATATACACTAGTGCAGATTGGATTTATTTAAATTATAACATGTGAAATTAGTCTGAGGTTCTATCTGTTCTTCATACTTTTTCAAGACTCATTCACTTATTTGAAAGACAGTTACCAAGAGAGAAAGGGAGAATCTTTTAAAATTTTTTAGGTTTTTTTATTATTATTATTTTTATTCTTTTCCATGATACAGATTTCTAACTTTAGGGATTCCCTTCATTCCCTCTCCATTTCCCCCCATATTATTACAGCAGTATAGTCCCTTTAGTAACAGCTACAAATTTAACATTCTATTTAGGTGCACATGACATTATAGACAAATATAGAAAATACAGCATAATATTGTCAAGGCATATTTAACTGTCTCACTGGCGTTCTCCTTTTATTCAGGAGCAGGTAGCAAAGACGCCCACTGCAATGTACCTTCACTTCCTGGTAAGCTAATCTCCATTACACAGTTCATCCATGGAATATGCATATATGTACTCTTCCACCTACATATCCACCTATTTTGTATTTTGCATGAATATTGCATTTTACCAGGGAGAACATAGGACATTTGTCCTTTTGGAGGCAGAGAGAATCTTCCATTTGTGGGTTTACCTCGCAGATGACCACAACAGCGAGAGCTGGACCAGAATGAAGCCAGGAGGCTCGTCCAGGTCTCCCATGTGGGAGCAGGGCCCAAGCGCTCAGGCCATCCTCTGCTCTTTCCCGGGCTATCAGCAGTAGCCAGATCAGAAGCGGAGTAGCTGGAAGTCAAACCGGTGGCCACTTGGGGATGGTGTCACAGGTGGAGGATTATACTTGCTATGCTATGGTGCTGACCCCTTAATTCTTATTTTTAATGGTCTTAGAATCATAAATCATACTGACAGATTATAATTTTTGATGCCTGTGTCCCATATCAAAGTGACAGTTCAAGATCACACTGCCCCACTTCCAGTCCAGCTTCCTGCAATGAGACGAGTCGTGTGGCTCAATCCCAGTGTTTGTGCAGAGTGCTTCATCGTACTGACGCAGCTAGGCCCTGATTCCTCAGGGTGGGCATGCCAGGAAGCACACTGACGAGCAACGGGAAACCTCGGATTCAAACTTCCTTACCCTCAAACTGAAAACTCAATGTTCATGTTTAATCTTGTATTATGTAACTAATCCAAATAGTAATTCCCACTGGAATTAAGGTCATGCACATAACTGGCCAGTGTCCAAGAGAACAGTTTAGTTTAAAACTGTATCTCTAGTTTCAGACCAGTTTAATTTTGAGTCTTGGCTAGATCAGCTTAAAGAGTGGCACAGTCAGGGCTGGCGCCATGGTAGAGCATGCTAATCCTCACTGTGTGGCACTGGCACCCCATACGGCGGTCATGTCCTGGCTGTTCCACTCCTGCTCCGCCTCTCTGCTTATGGCCTGGAAAGCAGCAGAGGATAAACAGCCAAAGGCCTTGGCCGCTTGCACTGACGTAGGAGACCTGGAAGAAGGTCCTGGCCGCTGGCTTCAGCTCAGCTCAGCTCTGGCTGCTGGGACAACCTGGGGAACGAACCAGCAGACGGAGGATCCCTCTGTCTTCCTCTTTCTCTAACTCTTTCAAGTAAAATAAATCTTTTAAAAAATGAAAACTAAAAAGTGGTATAATTCACTGTCCTTTAAGTACTTTGACTTTTTGGGCTTCAGTTTCCTCATAAAATGATAACATTGGGAAGTTGTAAGAAGTGAATGAAGAGAAAAACTGAAAAAGCACATATATCAAAATATTATACTTGAACAATCATCGCTGTCCAAGTCTGACACTCTTTCTACACAGCACTTGTAACAGAACAGCTAACTGTGCACAAGGAATAAACTCTGATCCATACTGTACTGTCCGCTGCTCGTCTGATAGATGGATGTGGGCACCGACATAGACGTGACGGCGGACACGCCGGGGTTTTCTCCGTCTCCTTTTCTGCCCCGTGTATCTTCAGAAGATAGGTCTTTTAAAATTTTTCTGTTGGTAAATAGAACTGTATTAATGTTGGTAATATTAAGAATTTAATTGCTCTCCAGCTTTTATAAGATGAAACCGCCACCCCTTTCCCCATCTCAAGCTACAACAATGTACTGCCACCCGAGCTCCCACGCCAAGAGATGCTGTTTGTAACCATCGCTTACGAGCACCGGAAAGGGACGCCAGTGCACACACACCACGCAGGGCCTCGCTAGGGACAAGGCTCTACGAGACGCAGGGTCTTCACCTATCAGAGAGACTCTGCTTCAGACATGCCACTAACAGGTGCTGCTCTTCCGCACATGAGTGTCAGCGACCTCCGTTTACCAAGATGACAATTCCATCTTCCAACTCTAACGGGGGAACTACACAGTTCTAAGGCGCAAGATTGAAAAGATCACCATCTTTTTTTTAAAAAGATTTATTTATTTATTGGAAAGTCAGATATACAAAGAGGAGGAGAGACAGAGAGGAAGATCTTCCGTGCGATGATTCACCCCCCAAGTGACCGCAACAGCTGATGCTATCTTGATCCGAAGCCAGGAGCCAGGAACTTCCTCCGGGTCTCCCACGCCAGTGCAGGGTCCCAAAGCTTTGGGCCATCCTCGACTGCTTTTCCAGGCCACAAGCAGGGAGCTGGATGGGAAGGGGCTGCCAGGATTAGAACCAGCACCCACATGGGATCCCGGCGCATTCAGGGCAAGAACTTTAGCCACTAGGCCATGCCGCCAGGCCCCAAAGATCATCATCTTAAATGCATGAATATTAAATGCATCAATAGACTTAAAGAAGTAAATGTGGGCCCGGCGCAGAAGCCGAGTGGCTAAAGTCCTTGTCTTGCATGTGCCAGGATCCCATATGGGTACTAGTTTGTGTCCTAGCTGCTCCACTTCCCACCCACTTCCCTTCTTGTGGCCTGGGAAAGCAGCTAAGGATGGCCTAAGGCTTTGGGACCCTGCACCCGCGTGGGAGACCCAGAGAAAGTTCCTGGCTCCTGGCTTCAGATCTGCTCAGCTGTGGCCACTTGGGGAGTGAACCAGTGCATGGAAGATCTTTCTGTCCATGTATCTGCTTTTCCAATACAAATAAATCTCTGAAAACAAAACAAACAAAAATGAGGTAAATGTGACTCTGAGTAAGTATAATGTGATTCATGGAAGGCTTAAGGGAGAGAAAGATATTCCTGTCGGAAAAAGGGTCTCCCAGGACACCTGGGGGTAGGGAGAAGCAGCAGCAAATGAGCATTATTTGCTCATGGGGAAAAAAATTAAAACAACTAAAATACTCACTCTAAATCCATGGTCATCATAGAAGAAAACGAGAGAATCACCGGGCAGGCATTTTACGCAGTGGTCAGGCAGCAGTGCGCGTGCCCACGTCTCCTATCACAGCGCTGGTTCATTCCCAGAGGGCTGTGCTAGCCGGGGCTGAGCCAAGCCGAAGCTGAGAGCTTCAGCCTGGTCTTGCACGCAGAGGGCAGGGGCCCAGCACACGTGCCACCTTCTGCTACTTCCCCCAGGCACGCCGGCAGGGAGCTGGACTGGAACGTGAGCCATCGCCCGTGTGGGATGCCGGGGGCGCAGGCAGCAGCTCTCCCTGCTGCATCAGCATGCAGCTCTCCTCAATTCCCTCATCTCCAGTTCTGTACTGAACACATCTACCCAAGGAGCACTTCAACCTGAAATACATCTGAGAAGGGCCAGGCATCCTCTCATTTCTGAACTATCAGCTCCATTCTTCCAACCGCTAAAATTAAAAAATGGGATCATCTTGTATATTGTTCACAATCTATATTCAAATACTTGTCCCCGTGTTAAACCCGCACCAGCATCTGGCCGCCCCCGCCGATGCGGTCCCATCCATGCTCCCACACCCCCTCCTTGACACACCAGTCCCTCTGATCTGCTGCTGCTGTGACTCTGTCCCCTGCACTGCACCCCTCCTGCTCCCGTCACTCTGCAGAGGCCGCCCAGCTCAGAATATTCCCATGACCTCTCACTGCCACACAAGCAATCCCCTGCGACCTGCTCCGGCTGCTCTTGTCTGGCAGCAGCGCTGTAAGTTAGTCTGTTCACAGAACCAGCTGTCAGTTATGGAATTAGTTTTCTCCAGGTCTTTTTTTTTTTTCCAGAAAACAGCTTTAACATACAATTCATTTAATTGCTTAAAGCCTAAAATTCAGTGTTTTTGTTATATTCATATGGATGCACCACCATTACCACAATTTTAGAATAATTACTGCCCCCACAAAACCCAGCACCTGTACACATATAATCTCTATTCTCCTCTGCCCTCCCCAAGCTCTAAGCAACCCTGCATGGACTTTGTAGATTCCCCTAGTGTTTTTTTTTTTTTTTTAAGATTTATTTAAGTTTATTGGAAAGGTGGGTATACAGAGAGGAAGAGAGTCAAGAGAGGAAGATCTTGCATCTGATGGTTCACTCCCCAAGTGACCGCAGCAGCTGGAGCTGAGCCAATTCGAAGCCATAAGAAACTTCCTCCAGGTCTCCTGCACGGGTACAGGGTCCCAAGGTCTTGGGCCGACCCTGACTGCTTTCCCAGGCCACAGGCAGGGAGCTGGATGGGAAGCAGGGCTGCTGGGATTAGAACCAGAGCCAATACGAGATTCTGGAGCATTCAAGGCTTTTTTAGCTGCTCAGCTACCACACCAGGCCTTAGTTTTATATTAAGGTTCATTCATATTGCAACATATGAATACCTAATTATTTTCCAATATTAAATGATTTTGTCGATTCATCAGCTGATGGACACTTCTTGTATTTACACGTCTAGCTGATGGGCTAGGCACCATAGCCTGGTGGCTAAAGTCCTCACCTTGCACGCGCTGGGATGGCAGTTCCAATGGGTGCCAGTTCCAATCCCAGTGGCTGTGCTTCCCATCCAGCTCCCTGCTTGTGGCCTGGGAAAGCAGTCAAGGACGGCCCAAAGCCTTGGGACCCTACACCCGCGTGGGAGACCTGGAAGAAGCTCCTGGCTTCAGATCAGCTCAGCTCCACTGCGGCCACTTGGGGAGTTAACCATGGATGGAAGATCTTTCTCTGTCACTCCTTCTTTCTGTAAATCTGACTTTCCAATTAAATACATACATATATATATATATATATATATATAAAATCTTGTGTTTCTGGCTGATATAAACAATGCTGCTATGAACATTCTTGTGAGTTGTATGCAGATGTTTCTGATTATCTTGAGTAAGTGCCAACACTTGAATGGCGGGCCTGATGGTATCTTACCAATCTGCAGAGCTGTGAGCCTGTTTCTATTGCAGCCTGAGTTCCCATTCTCACCAGTAACGTGGGAATGCTCTAACTGCTACCACACACTCATCAATACTTGTCACTTTATTTTTTTTAAAGACATTCGATGGGTGTGAAGTGGCATGTCATGATTTTGATTTGCATTTCGCTAATGATCAATGATGCTAAATAACTTTTATATGTTATTGGTCATTTGTGTACTCTTCAGAGAAATGTTTACTTGAATCCTTTGTTTATAAAACTGTGTTACATTAACAGTCAGCAGATAAATGACCAAGGGATCTTTATATTTTTTACATCTTTTTAAATTTTCATTAATTCGTTTTCAATGCATAAATACTATGCTCTTGCTGAACTGGTACCTTTCCAATAAATATTTGACTTTACACCTAAACATTCTATACATGACTATGAATTACTGTTTTCTTTTCTGGACTCTATTGTATTTTTAAATTATTTATTCCTATTTATTTTTTACTGATTTATCTATTATTTGTCTAATTCTTATTTAATAATTTAATTTAAAAGGCAGAGTTATAAAAAGGGAAGGAGAGACAGTGAGACAGGGTTTCCATCCATTGATTCACTTAGGAAACAGCACAATGGCCAGGTCTGGGACAGGCTAAAGCCAGGGGCCAGGAGCGTCTTCTGCGTCTCCTACGAGGGTGTAAGGCTCAAACACTTGGACCATTCTCCACTGCTTTCCAGGCATACTGGCAAGGAACCGGATCGAGAGTGGAACAGCCAGGGGCTAGACCACTGCATCACTGCCACGTGTGAAACCCAGAAAGGTTATGGGCAACCCAGGCTAGGCCGTAACACCCACTGGCAAGTGCCAGGACTGGATATGAGTCCTGCCAGGCTGGTCTGCAGTGCCCCAACCAAGTGCCAAGACTGAATAGAGTCTTGCCAGGCTGGTCTGCAGTGCCCCCAGTCGAGTGCCAGGACTGAATACTGAGTCCTGACGGGCCGGACTACAGTGCCGCCAGCCAAGTTCGTGACCCAGGGCCGAGAACATATCCTGGCAAAGAAACTGTGGACACTCCCCGCTAAGTGATCATGAGAGGCAGGGCTGGGAGCAGGCCAGGCAGAACAAAGCAATAGCAGCAGATGGCATATGGGTAGGCCGGGTCTAGAAGCAATTCAGGACAAGCTAAGCTGCAGTATGAACAGGTGCACACGAGAGCCAGATGGGATGTGGGACAGGCCGGGACGGGACAGGCCAGGACAGGGCATATGCTGACATATGCAAAAATCTGGCTGGTGGTGGAACTGATCAGACAGCTGCATACACTGGTATGGTGTTAACTGGTGCAGGTGACAAACTGAATCTGCACTAGCTGGGGCAGAGAAGAGCTAAGTTTTAGGTCACTCTAGGGGAGGTTTCTCAGGGGCCTCCTCAACTAGATAGTTGGACTCAAACCCCAGCCACAGGGGAAAAATCACAGTATCTGTGCTATGACTTGGCGTGTACATACTGCTGATGCCTGTGCAGAGGACAGCATGACCAGATATACACAGGGGACATGAGAGCCAGCTTATCTAAGCCAGCACAGAATTTCAAGGGTCTCATCAGAGGATGCAAAACAACTCTCCTGGCCAAGCTTTGCAGCAAGTGGCAGGGTGTGTGGATTTGATCATAGACCCTGAAAGCTATTCCCAGTCCTTGGGCTGACATGATGGCTCAATCAGCTGATCCTCTGCCTGCAAATGCCAGCA